GTGATCCTCCATGTGCTGCATGAGCTGGCCATGTGAAGCCAGCACACAAGATAGCTGGCCATATGCAAGGCCAGCCTCTCCATCTCCATTTTGATTGAGTATAAATGGAGGCTAAGGGGAGGGTTTGAGAGAGAGAGCAGAGCAAGCCACAGAGAGTGAGATATGTGAGGCGGAGAGACCGTCTCCCTCGGTGTGAGCGAGGGAGACGGGTGAGTGGGTGAGTGAGGAGAGTGTGAGCTCCTCCTCTATTGTAATCTTTCTGTAATATCTCCATTGTTATAGTGATAACCGGCTACTCTCCCGTGGACGTAGGCATTGAGGCCGAACCACGTTAAATATTGTGTCTCCTTGAGTGTGGGTGTGTTTTTATGCATGGAATAATTTCTACAAGGTCTTGGTATCAGAGCTCGGGTTGCGAAAAATTGAATTTTTCCCGAAAGTGCCCAGATTTTGAAGTGCTCAAAATCCACTTTTGACCATACCAGGAGGAAGAACTCCCCGAGAGGAGTCCAGAACAGCAAAAACAGAGCCCAACGGAGGCCGGACGCGCTCTCACGCGCCTCTGGAAGTTGGTGCGTGAGGCCCAGTCGCTGCACGCGCCCCCACGCGCCGTGAAGAGAATCGGCCCGTCGGCCCAGTCTCACGCACGCGCCGCACGCGCTTTCAGAAGTAGACGACACGTGCGTTCACGCGTAGACACGCGCCGCACGCGCCCACGCCAGCCAACGTCATCAACCGATCGAAGCCGAGCTGTTGAGCCGGAGCCGCGTTGACCAAGCCTGAGCCGCTGACCGAGCTGCTGACCGAGCCGCTGACGTCAGCCAGACACCAGCCAAACCGGAGAAATTATCCGTGCATCTCAGCGCACCAGATTCTGCAGATCTGACCCGTCCAAAGTGTTTTTGCCAGATCGGAGCCATTCGGAGTCCGTTTTTTACGATCCAATAGTGCTTCCCAACTATTTGGAGTATTCCGGACACATCTGTACGAACAGTTTTTTGAATTGAAGTTTCTAAAATAATGGCAGAATCTAGATCAACCGAGTCCGTAAGTAATTCAGCCAGTCCAAGCACTTCTGAGCATTGGACCCCGGTGTCCCATGCCAAGTTCGAGGTAGAGAAGTTCGATGGAAGCAGCAACTTCGGCATGTGGAGATGCGAAGTTAAGGATATGCTTGTCCAAATGAACCTGCACTTCACTCTGGGAGACAAACCAGATGACATGGACGAGATAGAATGGGAGAGGGTGAATCTCCTGGCCTGTAGTTCCATCCGACTTTGCCTTGCAAAAGAGGAGAAGTATGCCTTTACAGAATATGATATTGCGAAGAAGCTTTGGAAGGCGCTGGAAGATAAGTTCATGACAAAGAGCATTGAGAACCGGCTCTACTTGAGGAAGAGGTTGTTTCGTTTCGACTACATTAAAGGTATTTCGATGAACGAACACCTAAATAACTTCAACAAAATTATTACGGATTTGAAGAATTTGGATGATCAAGTTGGTGATGAAGACAAAGCACTGTTATTGTTAAATTCCTTGCCTGACTCGTATGATCATCTCACTACTACTTTACTGTACGGTAAAGAGAAGATCAAGTATATTGATGTTGCAAACGCCTTGGTGAACAATGAGTTCAGAAGGAAAGATAAGTCTGCAAACAGGGACTCAACATCCGAGGCATTAACAGTCAGAGGCAGAACAAATAACAGAAGAAATACAGGGCGAGGAAAGTCTCGCTCAAAATCCAGGGGGAAACCTTCAGACAAAAGACGTCTTGCAAAAGACGAGTGTGCAGCTTGTCGCCAGAAGGGGCATTGGGCAAAAGATTGTCCAAATAAAGACAAGACAGAAGAGAAGGTGAATATTGCACGAGATGGAGATAATGATGAAGGAGGAGCCTTCACAGTTTCATCATATGGCCAGTCGGATGAATGGATAATAGATTCCGGATGTTCATTCCATATGTGTCCTAACAAGCAGTGGTTCTCGAGCTTACAAGAGTTCGATGGAGGAGTTGTGCTGATGGGCAACGACCAAGCTTGACAGACAAAGGGGATTGGAACAATTAAACTGAAGATCCATGATGGAACAATCAGAATTCTTGAAGATGTACGGTATGTACCAGATCTAACCAAGAATCTCATCTCTGTGGGAGATAGGAGCAGAGGCTCTCTCCAAATCAGAGAGTGGTGTGAGTTGAGTTGAGGATGTAGGATTCCCTCCTCCTCTTATATCTCTGGTGTATTATCTCTAGCTTCAGGGAGTGCAAGCATCTCAGTGAGGAGATGCAGACTATGCTGAAGACATCCGAGACAGGAAGCGTGGAAGAGATCTGTAGGAGATAGGAGCAGCGGCTCTCTCCAAATCAGAGAGTGGTGTGAGTTGAGTTGAGGATGTAATACTTTGACATCGTCTTCTCCTCCTATCCTTCTCTTCCTTCAAATCGTCCCATGAAATACTGAAGACGAACCATTTAGATATATAAAAACGTCCAGCTCCAGACTCTCCGGTGAAACAAAACGACCATTGAAGAAGAGGACGAGGAGGACCAGATGATTCTGAAATTTCTTTGGGCCCTCGGGTTCTTGCATTTTCACTCCCATCTCTTCTCCTTCTATTCTTCCGTTTTCTTTGCTTCAACAGAATTCCGAACGCCGACATCGCCTTTCTCTCGCTGCGAGCCGATATTACTGTCTAGGGTTTATAGATCAACCAGAGAGAGAGTCCAGCACAGCACCCTCCTCTTAAATAGGTACGAAACTAGGATGTTGGATAATTTAAGGGCAAATTACAGAGAGTGAGATATGTGAGGCGGAGAGACCGTCTCCCTCGGTGTGAGCGAGGGAGACGGGTGAGTGGGTGAGTGAGGAGAGTGTGAGCTCCTCCTCTATTGTAATCTTTCTGTAATATCTCCATTGTTATAGTGATAACCGGCTACTCTCCCGTGGACGTAGGCATTGAGGCCGAACCACGTTAAATATTGTGTCTCCTTGAGTGTGGGTGTGTTTTTATGCATGGAATAATTTCTACAAGGTCTTGGGCGGGATTCCAGATCCCAACATTCTGGACAAAGATATGTTAGGGCATGTTGGTGATTTTGGGTTAGCAAAATTCCTTGCAGACCATGCCACCCATGACTTGTCTGCAAATGAAACAAGCTCTGTTGGCGTAAGGGGAACAATAGGTTATACTGCTCCAGGTGAATATGATTTCATTTATTCTTAATTGTTTCATGCACCAAAAGGTGTATAGCAAATTGCACGGGTGATTTGGGCCACACATTATTTTTTTTTTTTTTTTTTTGTGCACAGTTCTCTGGCTTTTTATGGAGCATTTCCGTCTTTTATAGCCAATATTTTTTTTTTTCCCTTACAAATGCATTTCACTTGCAGAATATGGTATGGGAAGTGAGGTCTCGGCATACGGTGATATCTACAGTTTTGGCATCCTTCTGTTAGAAATGCTTACTGGGAAGAGACCCACCGATGAAATGTTTAAAGATGGTTTAAGCCTCCACAGCTTTGTGAAATAGGCTTTGCCTGGCAGTGTATTGGAGATTTTAGACCCAATACTTTTTCAGACCGAAGGAGAAGAAGAAGAGAGCTTCATAATGAGTGAAAAGACTATGGAGTGGTTGAGTATGATACTTGAAATTGGAGTCAATTGTTCTTCAGAACTGCCTGGAGAAAGAACAAACATTAATGATGTTGAAGCTAAATTGCATTTCATCAAAGACACTCTTCTAGGTTCTGCCTAGAGATGAATTTATGAGGGAATCAATTGGAATGTCATGCTTTTGTCTTAATAATCTCCTTTCTGGAAGAGATTACATGTTTAATAACAGCCTTACTTTTACATTGGTTGAGCCAACTCTATGTTTGGTACATTTAGTGAAAAGGAATGTTACTTATTCAAAGAAAGTGTTAGAATTTGAAATGTGTTGATCGGATTTATTTTGGGTGTGATTCTCATTACATCAAATTTAAATGTACATCACAAATTCAAAATTTATATATGTTCTTTGCACGTGATTTTTTTTTTCCGGTTCAAAATGTTAATAATACATGATGGAGGGATCACATTGTAACAAAATTCAAAGTATAGAGATCAAATTATTTAAATTAAAATTTGTAGGACCAACATAAAATTTCGCTCAAAATAGAGGGATCAATTCTATAAATTACCCTTTTTTTTAAAACTACAATTCTATTTTGATTTACCCATCAACACAAATCCCTAACCACGTATTGGTCCGGCGAAATTAATCTGTGAGTTCTTTGTCTTCATTCTCTGTATTTGTTTATCAAATTATAATAATGAAAGACTACGGTTGTTTTCTCTAATTTCTTTGCCATAATTTGTGATCCTTAATTTATTGCTGGATATAATTGTTTGGCCCTAATTATCAGTTAGGGCTATAATTGTTTAAGTTACTTAGCACTGTTAATAATGGATTTTCACTGTTGTAGTTGTTGCCCTCAATTAGCCACAATTATGGTTGTTGCCCTAATTAGTGTTGTTTTGTCCATGTTCTTATATGGGTATGCAATAAATCAATTTTAATTCTATACTTGTTGCTATTTTTCCATTGGTTTGGTGCTTCAATGGAAATCTCTAATTTTTGTTCTGCTCTAATTTATGAAAACATATTATTTGCAGATATCAGTCATTGTGAATTTGTGTGGATTTTTTTTATTATATAGCTATTCCTCCTAGGAAGTATATTTTCGGATTGGAAAAAAGAAAAAGAAGCAAAAAGTAAAAAAAATTATTCAATCTCAATTGAGAGTGCTTGCTAAATTTATTGAAAGCAAGAAACAAATAGAAGGGCCTCTCTTAACAGTTTGCCTAGGACCCCTTAAAACTCAAAGCCGGCCCTGAGTCCTTGACACCAGTTTGAATACACCTGCATTTCATTTTCATGGATTCAATAGTAGTTTTCTTTTTTCAAATATATATACACTTTGTGAAACAAACAAACTCATATTATTGGGTAACAATTAAAAGGTAAATAAACTTGAATCACACAAGTATATTACATTATCATTCTCACATGGACTAAATTGGAAATAATCTGATAATCAAATTATGTATACACTTTGTGACATATAGGTTCCCAGTTTGAAGTTAAAAGTACAGGCATAATCCTCTTCCTTTTTGACCAAGTGTTTACCATTTCACACAGCTTTGACAAGCATAAAGCTTCATATTGTCCTGAAATTTAGTTACCAAAGAGCAAAAATGAGATGTTAAGGGCATAAATATAAACTCATTCTAGATTGGTTTGGCGGTTAACATAATTCATGCAGTTCAAACACCTAAAAGCATTATTAATCATTTAAATCACCATTAATCAAATTGAATCTCTTAGAATACCCACAAAAGGGCATGGTAGCCAATATTTTTAGAGTAACACTATACAATGAAAAAAAATGTAATCAATTTACTACAAAATGACATGACAAGTGTTGATTTTATTAACTTAAAGCAAAAAGTCAATCAAAATGGATTAGATTTTGAAAACTGTCATTGTCATACTATTTTGGTCAATAGTCATGAATTCTATTTGACTGGGAAAGGACAAACTAATTTGAAATCTCACAATAGAAAACATGCCGTGCTTGCTCCCACCATTGTCCAATTATCTTTGCGGCTTCCTGTTAACAAGGACAAATCATGGAAGATCAAAGCCAATGCGATAGAACTATAGGCGTAATTCTATAGAAGAAAGAAGCTAAAAATATTGAGCAAGACCTTTTCAATTTCGTACCTTGTTGAAAGTTCATCTTGAAGGAGTTTGTTCTTGACCAAATGAAGTTCATGGAGGATATTACTAATGCTCATTCGACCTTGTGGAAACTCTGTAGAGCATGCCACTCCAGTATGGAGCATGGAAATTAGACATTCACCATTCTGTCACCATTGTTCACTTGAATTGATTCCCAAGTACTGGCAGCAACAGCAGTATCTGCTGCTATTGCTCCTTCCTCTTCTTTGTCATTCTCTTGGAGTACCGGGTCTGCAATCTCCATCACATGGTCAGGCAAGGCCATCCTAGCAAAGCTATGAAGATTAAGGCCTTCCTCAAACATGCTATCAGTGGGTCTCTTCCCTGTTACTATCTCCAATAATAGGATCCCATAACTGTAGACATCTCCATAAGTTGACATCTCACTTCTAAGACCATACTCTGCCATTAAAACAATTCACATTGAAAACCCCTCACGATTTGTTTGCCTAAAAACAAACATAATATAAAAGAAAAAAAAAGGAACAATCAAATCTGGCATATGATAATGTCATAATAATAATATGAAAGCAGTACATTATACATATTCCCAGTTTTGGCAATGGAAAACATAGCCATTACTGTTATGACTAACGGTTGACTATGGACCAGGCCTTAAGGTAACCGAGCCAAATTCTCCAACTTGAGAGATGGATGGATCAAAACCCATTTAACATTCCTTCAATGATAGCTAACTTATATTTTGTTTGAAACTTTAAATTTTAATCCTAGAATAGGCATATGTCAAAGCAAAAGAACGGAAAAGAGAAGTTGTTACCTGGAGGTACATATCCAATGGATCCCCTTATTCCAATCAAACTGCTTTGATTAGGAATGGTAAGCTCTGGGAAAAATCTAACTAGGCCAAAATCTCCAACAAAGGCAACCATTTCATGATCAAGAAGGATATTACTCGGCTTCAACTCACAATGAATGATTAGTGTATGGCATTGATGATGAAGATAATCAAGTGCACAAGCCACATCTATGGCAATGTTTATTCTTTCTAGAAGGTTGAGTCTCCGGTGCTCATTTTACCCATTATTAGTTTCTGGACTTGAATGCAGCCATCCCTCTAGACTCCCATTAGGCATGAACTCATAAACTGAAGGTTTAAACTCATTTCCTTGAAAATCAACACTAGAAAAAGAAGTTATGATCCGGACCAAGTTTCGGTGTCAAATATTTCTCAAAGTTTCACACTCTGCCATGAAACTCTTTGTAGCTCCACAGTTTTGAAGGTTAAGTATCGACTATAATCAATTTACGGGATCCATTCCAGTTTCAATAGCCAATAATTCAAATCTTTTCAATCTTGAAATAAGATGGAATGAGCTTATTGCGGGAGTGCCAGCATTGGACAAGCTGCATAAACTTTGGTGGTTTGTAGTTGCATTCAATAATCTTGGGAGCGGTCATAGCGATGACTTGGACTTTTGTACTCTTTGATCAATCCCACTAGTTTAGTGGAAATTGATCTTCGCTGTAACAATTTTGGAGGAATGCTGATTGAAACCATTGGCAACCTGTCAACTAATCTTCAAAACATGTGTTTTAATCAAAATCAGATATTAGATAGCATTCCATCTGGGATAGGAAATCTCATCAACTTGGAAAGTTTATGGTTGTATGAGAATCAATTTACAGGTAATATACCATGTGATATTTTGAAGCTTCAAAGGTTGGTTTTCAACGAAAATGAACTCTCGGGATTAATCCCATCCTCTCTAGGAAATTTAAATTTGCAAAATTTACTTGATTTGAGTCAAAACAATCTTCATGTGTCACACCCCAAACACGGGTATGACCGGCCGGGGCCCACAGGGCCTTAGCCCAAGGCACACGTAAGCCTAAATATGAATCCATAATCACATTGAACAACTAAACAATAGTCCAATAATAAATAACCAAAACTCAATCCAGTGACATACCACAATTATAAACGGCAAAATCAACCGTAATCAAAACCATCCAAACTTATGAAATATAAACAGCCCACATATCAAAATAATCCTAAATGAACCCCAATAAAAATAAAAGAAATAAATATGCACAAACTTGACAAAACACTCTAAAATAAATGAATGTCCTAGAGGTCCATGCAATCGTGTCACGACCCCAAACCGCCCCTAGTAGGATGGTGCCGTGATGGCCAGTAATCCAAGATTACCGAAGGCCAATTTTCAAAATCCACACACAACAGAGTATAAATATATGGGGCTCACAAGTGCGGAAGCAATACATACAAATCAGATTAGTCCATAAGAGCTGTGCGTAAGTCAAATGAAATGGCAAACATCTTCACAAGGGTTACAACTTAGTACAAATGAAGTAAAGTACTTATTACATCTTGATCAAAAGGCTTCTCAAGCCGACGTATGGAAAATACAAGTAATACAAGTTGAGAAGCATAATTTTCAAGACTGCCGACGTGAATACAAGTCAAGCCGACATAACAAAAATCCAAAACAAGCTCGCGAATCACATCTAGGCGTCACCGCCTTCTTGCTCATCACCTACATATATATAGAGAGGGTGAGCTTGGATACTCAGTGAATGATATAAATAATAAAAGGTTTGCATGAATAATAGCCGAAGTCTTTTCAAAACAATACAAGACAAAACTATTATATAACAAGGAATGGACCTCGCCCATCAAACAAATCTTCCAAGTCCCAAGGGATACTTGCTAGCATCATATATAACAAATGACAACATCTTGGCAACAGGTCCACGCGGTAAACCGTTCGGGCAAATCAAGACAAAGCAAAAGAGGCATCTCAACCAAGGGTGCTACAAAAGTTTAGAGTCCTCTAGCACAAAGGACCTATGGTGCAGTTGTATTATAGTCCCCTGGCACTAAGGACTTTCCGAGAATGTCATCAAAACAAGATAATACTTGATATACAAAATAGGGACAATCATTCATGCTTAACAAATACTTTTCAAAACAAAGCAAAGCAAAGCTCATCAAAACATTGATAACATAGCTTTATTAAAAATACCACTCACATAGTTCTTCAAACGTCGGGGTCAAGGCAAAAGTCCGAGTCCTACAAACACACGGCAAAGTCTATTGAACGTACTTCCAAACAAGATTCACATGCAACCGAATGATCTCGGCGTTCATCAAAACCAAGTTAAATCAAAACAAAACACTGTTTTTCATCTCGGGGAAAAATATGCTGGGCATCAACCAGGTCTTGGCCGAGGTCCCACACCTTCTCGCCAAGGTGTGGTCCCGACGGCCACATTCAAAAGCGAAGTCGCGAAAATCTGGGTTTCCCTTTAAAGAACATGAAGATGGAGAAGATGAAGATGAAGAACATGCATGCTAAAATCATAACTTGTTACTACAAAGTCTGAGATCTCGTGCTATGAGTTCGAAAACATGGACCTGGGTACCCATACTCAAAGATCTTGTGAGAACAAACACAAAAACATGGTTCTTGATACAAACTTTCGGATCAAAACAAGACTTTTCTTCGAGAACACATGAACACTATCTTCTCTTACTAAACCAACTTTAAATCGATGCAAGGCATGCAAAACAGGTTCGATCATGCAATGCAACTAGACGATCAATAAGAACAACAAGAGTAGTTTAAGATTCTAACCTCGAAACTAGGATCTAACGGTTCAAGCTCCCACGGTCAAGCTTGGAGGTCCACTCTTTCACTCAAAAGCTTCACCTTCTTCTTTCTAGAGTCTCTCTCTCTCTAGAAGACAAGATTTGATACAAAAATGATATGTTTTCTCGACAGTCACTGACTTAACCCTCTGCTGGGACACGTGGTATCGACTGATTGGCTCTACTCAAAAAGGTGACTGACTGACAAGACAAGACCATGACAAAGTGTATTCAACAAGCTGGATGGCAAGAGCACTCCGGCAAGTGATGATCTCGGCTAAGGGCAAAGCTTCGGCAAGTAGGGTGACAACGACATCGGCTTGGAAGGATAACACTTGACTAAACTGTGCCACACCTTGGCCTAGATGTGCCACACCTCGGCTTAGGTCATACCATTCCAGGAACAAAATCACTAAGTGCAAGGATCAAGGGTCTAGACCACCTAGATAATAACATCTCGGCCTAGATGATGCACATCTCGGCCTAGGTGACGCACACCTTGGCCTAAATGATGACATCTCGGTCAATATGCTAGGGTGAAGATGGAGGCCAACAGAAGTGGTTCCAAGATAGTTCTAAGTGTGGAAAGGTTCCAAGGTGTCTAGGCTTAAGATGACCTTGGCAACACACCAGGAAAGAATAAGGCATGCAGCAATACTCAAGCAAAACAAGACAGGATTTGCAAATGCACATAACAAAACAAGATCGTACATAAATGTATGCAAGTATGACTAAGTTGAAGTGAGGGTTGTTACATCCTACCCCCCTCAAAGAAGTTTGGTCCCCAAACTTGAGTTACCTTGTTCCAAAAACAATTCTAGATGTCGGACTTTCATTTCCTCTTCCATTTCCCATGTAGCATCCTCACCGTAATGCTCATTCCAGTCAACTTTCACCATTGGTATCGACTTACTTCTCAATTGTTTCACCTGCCTATCGATAATCCGTATCGGTTTCTCCTAGTAGCCTAAATCCTCATTAATTACAATCCCAAAATAGTCGATCACATGCAGTGGATCTCGAATATACTTCCTCAACATCGAAATATGAAACACATTATGGACTTGGCTCAATTCTGACAGCAAAGCAAGTCTGTAGGCAGCGAGATTAACTTTCTCAAGAACTTCAAAAGGCCCGATGTAACGGGGTGCTAACTTACCCTTCTTCCCAAATCTTGTAACTCCTTTCATCGGCGAAATCTTCAGGAATACATGGTCCCCGACTTCAAATTCCAAGTCTCTTCTTCTCTGATCGGCATAACTCTTCTGTCGACTCTGAGCGGTTTTGATTCTTTGCTGAACGAGCTTAATCTTCTCGGTTGTTACCTGAATTAACTCGGGACCAAGCAGAGCTTTGTCTCCTACCTCGGTCCAACATATCGGCGACCTGCACTTCCTTCCATACAATGCTTCATACGGCGCCATGCCAATGCTAGCTTGATAACTGTTGTTGTAGGTAAATTCCACCAATGGCAAATGCACTCCCCAACTTCCTTGGAGGTCCAATACACATAGCCTAAGCATATCTTCAAGTGTCTGAATCGTCCTCTCTGTTCGCCCATCAGTCTGGGGATGAAAAGCTGTGCTAAGCCTCAACTCGGCTCCAAAAGCTCTTTGTAGGCTCTGCCAAAATCTGGAAACAAACTTCGGATCTCGATCCGACACAATTGACATCGGCACTCCATGAAGTCTGACAATCTCATTCATATACAACAAAGCAAGTTTATCGGCGTTGAAGGTGGTCTTAACAGGCAAGAAGTGCGCTGACTTAGTTAGTCTATCCACGATGACCCAAATCAAATCCATACCCTTTTGCGTCTTCGGCAAACCAACCACAAAGTCCATGGAGATGTGTTCCCATTTCTATTCAGGAATCGGCAAAGGTTGAAGAAGTCCTGCTGGCCTTTGATGTTCTGCTTTCACTTGTTGACAATACAGACACTGGGACACGAACTCGGCTATTTCTCCTTTCATATTCGGCCACCAAGACGTCTACTTCACATCTTGATACATCTTGGTGTCCCTGGGTGAACAGCAAACTTGGAACCATGAGCTTCCTGCAAAATTTTTCTTTTCAACTCTGGGATGTCGGCCACACACAATCTTCCTTCAAACTTGAGCACTTGATTTTCTATGGTGTACCCTGATCTCGGCTTTGTGATAATCTCATCGGCTACCTTCTTGAAGAATTCATCCTCCATCTGTCTTGTCTTTACTTCCTCAACAATAGTCGGCTCCACTGAGATCGTGGTTAGACATG